TGCCTAATAGGCAGCTGTAGGCAACTATAGCTACTGCCCTATATAAAGACACCTAGGTGCCCAGTTAGTTATAACAATCAAGCCTGTTACAACAATTCAACTGAACTGAGTTGACAAGTGTGATTATTATCTCTACTGTACTTATACGGCAGAGACATACAACTACTTATAGTCGTATATCTTCTGTATCTGCCTAACGTCACGGAGACTGCCTGGCAGGCAGTCCGCCAGTGGCTCTCCTGCCTACAGGCAGATACTCGTTATCATGGGATTCAAGTGAATTGCCGGGCCATGCAGCTCTCTCGATCACGGTGAACCAGTGGACGACCTTCTCATAGATATTGTTTCGGGCCCACCCCAGTGGCCTCAGCTTTTTCGCGGCTATTTCTAGGTGACGGCTACGGAAGCCTCGAACCCATTTTTCGCCTGGTCGCCGGGATCGGGGAGGGAGAGGAGCGCTGGCTAACGATTACGTGTGCCAGATAGAGTAGCATTTTGAGTGGGAGGGATATCCACGTTCGGCCGCTCGAAGGAGGTTATTCCACGAGGGCCATTTCTTCGCAAGGGGTGAGGTATTGCTTATTGGCCGCAGCTTGCTGCCTCGATGGCCTCCCATGATTTGATGCCACAATGTCGACAAGGGTATAGTACCTGACTCGATTCCGACAAGGCAGCATTGGTGGTTTTCTTGGGGACAGTTCTCGACTGAGCCCAGGCCATTGATGAAGTCGCTGCAGCGACACGAGGAAGGGGACGGCCATTCCACCACAGTTCCTACCAATTACTACTTTAGGCAAGGGGCGTTTCTACCGCCAGTGACATGCACCCCACATGGTGGTAGTATTGATTTAGTAAATTACGCCATGGTAACAAGGAGCTCATCTAAGTACCTCTCGAACCCTCATAATATCAAGTTATAGCACTGCCAACCATATGGTTTGTCTAGACATGATAAGGCTGACCTCGTACAACATTGAGCAGTTTCTCGGCTAGATCATAGGGTGTAAGCTCAGCTCGCCTTGCGCCACACCGCAGGTAATTTTTGGCTAAACAGATTTCTATCATGGAAAGTACTGTACGTATTGCTACAGTAGGAGTGACATTGCTAAGATAATGCCAGTGCAAATCAATGTACCGGGGGCACATTTTCGGCTAGTCGGCTTTTCGTGGGAGGCCAGGTGACGTTACCGCCGGAAGGAAAAGTGAATCTATGAGAACAGTGTGGGGCTTAGTTCTAGGCCTATTATGCACAAACCCAAGGTTGATTCGACGACCGTTCCTTTTTTTGCCCAGAAACACGGCCCACGCAAATCGCCGGTTCTCCCAAACCCTCCCGTCACGGTTCGGCCACGAAATTGGGTTTGGCCCCGGCTTTTCAGGCCTACCGCGTGGAGGATTTTCGCGCTCCCTGTGAAATAGCAGTCCGGGCGGATTTTAGGCCGGGAGCGAGGCGCAAAGGCATCTTCGCCGCCAGAATTCGGGTGGCGGCCACTCTTCCGCCGCGGTTGTCGTCACGGTGAAAGTTGTCGGAGCGTGGGTCATCAGACTCAGTGCGAAATTCGCGGCACTGAGCCAGGGGTTCAGGATTCTCAGGGCCATATAATATATGTCAAACTGGGTGCGCAACTCAAGCACCGGTCCCCCTCTCCGTCCTCCTCCAACTTCCGGCCGCACGTAGTCAGAGGGTGGTGTTTCTTCCAACATGGCCCAACAGGGTCCGGCCGACGGCAAAGGCCAACAGTCCTACGGGGCGTCGCTGCCAACCTTCTTGGGAACTCTCACCACATCGGGGGCTTATTTTGCGTTGTCCGCCGTCTCGGCTTCACTGGTGGTCAGGCTTTGGCGCCGGCGTCAGATCTAGTAAGAGCACCGACGAGCCCCTAATACGCCGTCCTCCCGGTCACGCGGCGCCTCCTGCTGATCAATCATTCTACCCGTAGTTACCCCCGCGAGGAGTACTTCTCGCACAGTCAGCTCGGCGTCGTCCCCGAGGGCGTCCTGAGCTGGCTGTCGCCGGCCTACCGGGCATCCGACTCAACGATCCTGCACGACTGCGGGTTCGAGGCCTTGATGTTTGTCCGCTACCTCCGCCTACTGACTCGATTGTTCGGGCTCGCGTCCCTCATCCTACCGCCATTGATCATGCCCCTAGCGTGGATCGGTGGTCGTGGCCCTCGTGACGGGGTGAATGGTCTGGATCGGCTGGCGTGGCCGAATGTCCGGGTGGATGCCCACGGGCGCCACTGGGCATTTTGCCTGGGAAGCACCTGTCTCCTCGCGATCCTCTGGTTTCTCGTCGACCGAGATCTTCACGAGGCTGCCTGGATACGACAGTGGGATCGAATCGGCTCCGCGAACCGACAACTGCACCTCGTGCTCGTCGAAAACCTTCCGGCCGGCTATCGGGACGCATCATCACTGGGGACGTGGTATCGACAGCAGCTCGGGGACGTCCTCGAGGGCGTATACGTCATCGAGGATGCGACAGAACTGGCGAGGCACATGGCGGACGCGAAGGAGACCGGCGAGAAAGAGCGACGACTGTCACAAAGGATCGCTCGCTCCCGGACGGGTCCACCTGGGGAGGACTGTGACGCGAAGGGCGTCATCGTGCAGGCACACCAGTCTCTCCTCCGCCTCAAGGGGAGCCCCTCGGCCCTCATCCAGTTCAAGGATGGCCGCATTGCGTGGTATGTCGCTCACACGGTGAGTTGGCCCCAAGCAGGCCACATGCGCCCACACCTCCTGGACGGGTCGGTCGACGACCTCGTCTTCGAGAATCTGGGTCCTTCCTGGGAGGCCGCGGGCTCCTCCAGCGCGGTGGGTTCGGTCGTGATAGCCGCCTCGATGGCGCTCTGCGCCCCACTCATCTCCATGACCGGCACCCTGTCCCAGCTCGACTCGGTTGCACGGCTCGTCCCCCACGGCCAGGTCATCCTGGCATGGCCCTCTTGGTTGAAGGGTCTGGTTCAGGGCGTCGCGCCTCAGTTGGCGGTGACCTGCATCTTGGGTATCTTTCCCCACGTCCTGCGCGCTATCGTCCGACGACAGAGGCGTCCCACCGCGCTCGAGGTCGAGTTGGCGGTCGACAAGTGGTACTACGACTTCCTCTTTGTCTTTCTCGTGCTCAATGTCTCCATCTCGGTCGCCGTGACCACGCTTTTGGCGCAGGTCGCCGACAACGTGAGAAGCATTCCCTTCATCCTCGCGGAGAACCTTCCGAAGGCAGCGACCTACTTTTCCTCTTACGTCGTGACGTCGACCCTTCTCGCGTGCGGGCGCGACCTGTCTCAGCAAATCTCCCTTCTCCGTTATGCCGTGGGCCGCCTTTGGTCACCTCGCTGGACATCACCGTCGCCGACACTGGACTCCCTCCAGTGGGGATTTGTCTACCCGCGCGTGGAGATCGTGGCCTGTATCGGTGAGTAGACAACCCACTCAGTTTTGCATTCAGACCCGACCCCGCTGACAGAACAGTGATCGTCTATGGTCCCTCGTCCCCTTTGATTCTGCCCCTGGCGTTTCTCTCCTGTGCGCTGATGTCTCTTTCCTACCGTTATCTCCTTCTCTACGTGGTGCGTGTTGAGGTCGAGACCGAGGGGAAACTCTACCTCCTGGCTATACGTCATCTGTTGTTTGCCATGGGCGTCCAACAGGTCTACTGTCTGGGGTTGTTCTCGCTCAACGCGGTCGACACGGGCTCTCCACACAGCTTTGTGCAGGCGGCGATCGTGGCGGTGTCTGGTCTGGTCACCTTTCTGCTCGATCGCCACGTTCGCCGTCAATTTTCGCCCTTGTTTGTGTACAAACCCTGGAGCGGGATGACCGTCGGGTGCATCCACGACCGTGCTGGCCAAGAACAGGCGCGAAGGGCGGAGAAAATCGTGCGGGAGGCTCGAGCCACGTTGGCGCTCCGAGCTTGTGCTGTCGATGTGGAGCACTAGAACACAGCCCGTGCGCCCCCGCCATGAATTCCGCATCACCACGTGTACAGGGGCGAACCACGGGCAGCATGAGGTTACCAAGAGGCAAAACAACGTCCAGACCCACTCGAATATGTTCCGGGTTCCCGGCTATTGGGTGGCCCATCCCAGCGAGGCAGGTGCGGAAAGGGATTTAGGTAATTTGGTGGGTGGATAGACTGGCGCACGTCCGAAGTCGGGCGGTGTGGATTGGAGATGGTGTCGACACAAAGGAGACATGTTTCGTCCGAAAGAACGTGGCGAGGCACGTGTTGTGAATTACGGCAGTGGAAGCATATGTAATTCTTATTATTTGTCTACCCTTTCAGAATGTAGAAAGTATAAATACACTGAAAGTAATACTCTAGAAGCTTCCTCACAATTTCCAAGCACGCGGAATGATTCCATAAGGCATTCATCAATGTCATGATAGTTGGTTGAGCCTCATATCACAACAGCACGCACGCAGAGGAATGAGCGGTCATACGATACAACCACAGTACCGTCCCGTGGCAGAAACAGATGATGGACCCGCGGGAAAAGCGTGTCGGCAAGATCCTGGGGGTTCCAGGGAGACAAGATTGCTGCGTAGAAGTCTAACTTGCCTGTGCCACCGGTGCTCGATCGGATATGACGAAGTTTCTCTGCTCTTGCTACATCACGTGATTCATTACTCGGCACCCTCTAAACTTAACCGTAAAGATTTATCTGTTAAAAGTGGTTAAATAGCACTGCTTTTGCGGCGACCCGGACGTTCTCGTCAATCTCGACCCCCTGTGCACCTCTTTCCAAGAGGAAGACGCTCGGGGGATACTGGCCCTGTCGTTCCGCCCTCCGAAGCTGCTCGCTACTGTGACTCCGCATCTCACCATCGTAGAGGAGATATCGCCCGGCGTATTCGCCGATCTTCACTCTCCATTCGGCCCTTCCGACCCTTTCGAGCAGTCTGAAACCGCCTCGTCCCAAGACATACACCGAAATGGTGTCGGCGGGAGGCTCCGCCACTCGCCCCGATGAAGGAGAACGACCAAGAACGCTTCCTGACCGCGTCGGGTGAGGCTCCGACCCGGCGATCGGCATTCTCGCTACGTTGTCGACATCGACCGCGTCGCCGCTCAGAGTGGAATAGCGACTCGATGGTGGGAATGGAGAGAATGGAGGGAAGCTACCAATCGCCTCCTGGTACGTCCGGGCAGGCTCGTTCGTCCCTGATGTCCGATCCCGTGAGGGCATCAGAGCATCCCTCGTCTCCAATGACTCCCGCGGGCTCCGTGACCGACGGCGTGTGACAGACCGGGATGGACGTCGCTGAGTGGCCGTATTTCGGACACGGGATGAGAGGGCGGCGCGGCTGTCAGGCCTTTCGGTCATCTGGTGGGGCACGCTGCGAGGGGGCGTCGTGGATGCCGCGCCGTAGTATTGATCCAGCGGGAAGTCGATGCTGTACGACACGTCATTGTCTACCGGGTCAAGGAAAGCTCGAATTTTGGACTGACGCAGGGAGGTGGCTGAGACCCTGCGCGGTCTCTCGCGTGTTCCGCCATGTTCTCTGGATGCATTATGTTCCCGGCGAAGTTGAGCCTGCATACGCCGGTCCGGCCGTCCCTGCCGACGTTTCTGTGTGAGGATGTCTCTCGTCGGGTGCTCACACGCGCGGTCCGACCCGGGGCGCCGGCGAGGGGCGGGGTGCACCTGCGGTACAAAGGGAATCGGTTCCAGCTGAAGCTGGAGGGCGAGATCGGCAAATTCACGCCATGTGTCGATGACCGGTGCAGAAGGCGTCGAGATAAGGACGCAACTCGGTACGAGATCCTCAATGTGCTCGAACGCAAAACGAAGGAGCCGGTGATACTGCTCACAGGACATCTGGTCGTAAGCACGGCTGGCGAGTAGGTCGCGGGTGGCGGACACACAACACGCCATAAGCTTCCAGTCCTGGACCAACGATTCTAGGTCTAGGAGCGGTTCCTGGACCTTATTAAGGTTCGTCATCAATTGTAAGATTTCGGCAGGGTCGAAGCGACCGAAGATGGCACTTTCTTCCAAAAGGTCTTCCACGGCCATCAAGTCCTCCGTGAACGCGGGCGCGAGGAGGCGGATACCGCGAACTGTCGGAGGGTCAAGACGCTCGAGGCCATTGGGGATGCCTTCGAACACAGTTTTCCACCCCGCCACCATGTGGTTGACGTAATTACCGATCAATCCCTGTGGAAGAAGATGGTCAGTTTGACAGCTGGGGCGGGGAAATATTTTCAGGCTTCCGCCCTCCGTCACATACGTACTCGGTTCCGCTCTGGACCGAACATTTTCGGGAGGTGTCCCAGGGGAAATTTGGCGTTTAGGCCGTCAGATTTCATGATTTCGTCGAAGGTCTGCTGGATATCTTCGGACTTTGACAGCATTTTCAAGCCTCGGTCTGCATAACTGGGGAGGCCTTGAAAGAGGGCGCTGGGGGAGGCATGCCGATAGCTACGGGTGGCTCGGTAGACGTCCTTCGCGGTGTACGGCAGGTGGTTCAACTGTCTGGTTGGGTACGTGGGCATGGCAGGCAGGAAAAAAACCTGTCACGACTCCGAGTGCTAGGGTACGAGAGGATGGTCCAAGGATGGTCTAAGGATAGTGCGTCGGGCCTACACGGTAGGCCGGTAGATGGAGAGATGATCGTGCGCTCTATACCATTGACCGGCCAGGCGCTCCGAGTTACATATGTATACATTGCCTAGGGTGACTGCGGTGGTTGAGATTCTAGCTTGCACGGGTTAACAGTCATCGGTCACCAGCCACCAGTCACCAGTCGTGATCCTAAACACGTATAGGGTGATGGTGGGTACAGTACCAGGAGCAAAGGAAAGCCCCGCGAATGACCCGCCGGTGTAGTCTTCATTTCTGTCGGGCACGGTCGCTGATTTTGATCCCTTACGGGTGAATGTGGGGGGGAACATATTGATGGTGAACTTTCTTTCTCAGCCCCTTTAGCCAATAAACAACGGACCAGAAGGAAGACGAGTCACTGCAGAGCAACCCCAAATTCACGACAGGAATTGTACTGTACGAGATGGGCCCGTGGACCAGAAAACTAACGACATCTTCCAGGTCCTCCCTCAGAACGGATGAACCTCAATGCCATCATCACCGTTTGGTGGGCATAACCCTACCACCCCCCCTTCTCAGTCGCTTTTTTCGATCGATCTCCATGATGCTTCCTGGCTGATGTGGCCCTGGGGCGGGTATGCCTCAAGTTGACTCCGCCTCTTCGTCGCGCAACCTTTACTCTCTGACACCGTACACTGCGGTCGGGCAGGAGAATGGAGGATCAATTCATTCTCCATCGTGGGCGTACATGAAAGGGGCGCCACTCCCTTCCGGCGTACTGGTACTGTATGTTGGGTGTTTCGTGAGGTGCAGAGGG